AAGAAGAAGAAGAAGAAGAAGAAGAAGAAGAAGAAGAAGAAGAAGAAGAAGAAACTAATTTTTAATTCCATAATATCTCCTATTTTCACTCAGCTCTTAATTTGTATGTGAATTACTATCAGAACTTTCTTCTTAAAGTGATTGGTTTAGACTAGTCACAGTGCAGTGCTGAGAAAGCTTCCTTATTTACGCTTGGGAACTAGTGTTACTGTTATGTTCAGTTAGATGATAAAGGAGCAAACTAAGAGAGACAAAGTCATTCTTTAAGGTCACAGCAATAAAAAGAAGCCAAGTAAGAATTTATATCCAAAGTCCAATTCTTAACTCCAACTTTTGAATGTTTTCCCAGAAGGTCAGCCACACAGTGAATCATACTAAGAGAATTCTTTTTAGTTTTCTTAAAATTCTTCTAAGTTGGGAAACAACAAATGAAATTGTTCAGACTGAACCCTGGTGTCCATTACACAACTTTCAAATTGTATTATACCACTTAGTGGAATGACCTTGGCAAATTAGTCAACTTAGCATATGTCAGCTCTTACATCTGAAAAATGGAGTTATAGCTGCGCTGTCAGTGGGGGCACACACCTGTAATCCCAGCAGTCAGGAGGCAGAGGCAGGTGGATCTCTGTGAGCTCTAGGCCAGCCTGGTCCACAGAGCTAGTTCCAGGACAGACAGGGCTGCACAGAGAAACCCTGTCTTGACACCCACCTCACAGCCCCAAAAAGGAGTCTGTAATAGTAACTGTGCTCAGGGAGCACTATCCAGTGCTTTAAGAAAGCTTCAGTCCTAGCAACCACTGCGGCTCTGACTCTTCTTAGTGCATTAAGGACTGAAAGAATTATTTTCAGAAAACAAATTTAATAAAACGATCCCTTAAAAGACAGGGTGGGATTACACCCAGGGCCTCACACATGTCCACATGCTCTTTCGCTGGGTGACATCCATCCTTAGCCAGAAGTACACTAACATCATGATTATTATGCTGTGTGTTTGCCCACTGCCTGTGTGTATACCCACGGAGTCAGAAGAGGGTGTTGGAGCTTCTAGAGCTCGGATTACTGATGGCAGTGAGTTGACTGGTGTGGGTGCTGGGAACCAAACCTGGGTTTCTGGAAAAGCAGAAAGTGCTCTTAACTGCTGAGCCATCTCTCCAGCCCCAGCCAGAAACATTTTTTTCTTTTTTTTAAATAATTTTATACATTCACTTGTATCCTAGCTGTAGCCCTCTCCCTCTTTCTCTCCCAAACCTCCCTTCCTCCCTTATCTTTTCCCTGCCCCCTTCTGAGTCCACTGAGAGGGGGTGTCCTCCTCTCCTTCCTTCTGGCCCTAGCTTATCAGGTATATACAGGATGGTTGCAGTGTCCTTATCTGTGGCCTAGCAAGGCTGCTCCTCCCTCAGGGGGGGAGGGGAAGCTCATGAATTCATGTCAGAAATAATCCCTGTTCCCCTTAGCCAGAAACATTTTTAACAAAGAGAGCAGGTCCAAGGTTTTGAGCCAACTACAATATGTAAATAGAATTTTGGAACTTACTAACACTTCTTTTGCCATTTCAAACAAAATGTGCACAAAGTTATAAAACACCAGGTACACAATTTAGGCGGAAAAAATAGTTTAATTGCAAGACTATCTCCCCCAAATCTCTCCATTCTGTATTCTTTTTCCTCTATGCCCTCACTTCCTCTGGTAGGAGTGCCAGTCGGTAACAAATTAACTTTAAAGAGTCAAACTTCATAACACTGCCAGAAATGAAAAAAAAGCCAACCTTTAAAATTTAACCTGACTATCTTTTAAAAGGAATTTTTCCAAAACTGTTTTCTTTCTCTGCTCCAAATTAGAATCAGTTTTCCCACCTTTCACTTGGTCTCCCACTCCATTAAATTTCACTTCTAGCCCTACTATAATAATCACTGTTCTGCCACATGTGGATTGGGGGCTAGGGTTTGAGTTCAAACCAAGATGCCACCTGCAAGCTATATGACCTTGAGCTTGTGTTTTTAAAAAATGGAGAGACAACTTAAAGGAGAAAAGGCAGTTGTTACGATGCCTGTCATAGAACATTTAATAAACTAATGATTCTTTTTCTTTTCCATATATAGATGAAGGCCTTTCATACTGGATTACTTTTTACACATTTTTGAATCAGCTAAGTACTTGGCATGCACTACACATCTTCCTCAGTTCTAATTGGCAGCTGTTGAAAATCTTCAGCTGACTGACAGCAAAGAGGCACTACAACAGAAATTACTTTTTAAAAAGGAATCAGCTTTAGATATACTTTAAGAGAAGACTTAGAAAGAAATTAGAGAGAAGAAAGTTTATAAGAACCCGTAAGATACAATGCAGTGATTTTCAAAGCTGAGGCATTTTGAGAAATAAGGTCTTAAGCTAGGTATGCTGGTCCCATCTCAGTGCTAAGAATGCTAAAACAGGAGAACAGCAGGCTCCAGGTTAGCCTGAGCTACAAAGCGAGACCCTGTCCTTCACAGCCCCACAAAATGAAGTGAAAAGAAGTACCATTTCTATTTAAAAGCACTTCTTCTAAGTGGAGATAAAGCCAAAAGATAGTTTTTTTTTTTTTGTTCATTACATATATGATTAGCTCTAGTATACAGGGCAATCTCAGAATCAGCGTTGGTGTTACTTGCTTTTTGTTTATTTGTTTGTTTTATTTATTTTTTTGTTTTTTTTAAATTAAATTTAATTTAAATCACAGGTCATTCACTTGTATCCCAGCTATAGCCCCCTCCCTCTTTCCCTCCCGATCCCCCCCCCACCCCCCCACCCCCCCGTTTTCTTTTTTTGAGACAAGGTTTCTGAGTGTAGTCTTTACTGTTCTGGAACTCACTTTGTAGACCAGGCTGGCCTAGAACTCACAGAGATCAGCCTGCCTCTGCCTCTGCCTCCTGAATACTGAGATTAAGGGCATGTGCTACCACTGCCAGCTACCTGCATTTGGTATTAGTGGTGAAGAAGCATGGACAAACCATCAAACACATCATAGTGAATTCCTGTATATTGTAAAGTCCAGGGACTTGGATAGATATATGAGTATATGCTGAGTATTGCTGTCCACATGAGACAAGTACAGCTGTTGATGGGTTTTACTCTTGTGAGTTAGGAAAGGGTTAGATTGAACTTTTACAAGTCAGTAAAAGAAGCCTGTCACAGCGGAACCACACAGTGTACGATTCTTTTTGTAGGAAATGTCTCTAAAAGGTAAGCCCTATAGTGATGGAAAGTAAATAAACGTAAGGGATTGGGGGAAGAGGTCATGTGGAATGAAAGCTTACAGCATAAAGCTTATTTCAGGGTGGATGTAAATGTTTTGAGAGTAGAAACTGGTGATGGCTAGACAACTTTTGAGCATGGTAAAAGCCACTGAAATGTACCTATTAAAGGAATGACAATTTATGGCTTATTATGTCACAACAAAGCTGTACTAAAACCAAAACCAGAAGCCACCAAGAGGAAAGCCGAGTGCGCTGGCGTGCGGGATGATACCACTTCTAGTCAGTGCAAGCAGGTGGCACGCTTAGCTCCGGGGCCAGGCAGCTCCAGAGCGGACAAAATCCTACGAGTGCAAGCTTCTGGTCACACTAGGGCTCCCCTGAGGGATTTGGGAGCACTGTCCCCTTTCTGATCTCAGTTTCTCCGCCCATTATAAGGAGTTGGTTCTGACACCCAGCGGCCGCAGCTCCAAAACTCACAACCCCGCACACAGCTGTTCCCTCAGCGCTACCGTAAGAAGCATTACCTGTAGGCACCAATGGCCGCCGGGGCTTTTGTGGTGCTGATCACCTTTCTGATTATGGACGACATGTTAATTCTTCCCTCTTGAAGACGGTCCAGAAGAAGAAAACACAGGAACTCTACTCACTCTTCTCCACACCAACCAGACCGCCCTAGGTGGTAGGGTTTTAAAGCCTCGGGGACGCCCCGGGCGAGTTCTTAGGCATGATGGGAATTGTAGTTCCCGCGCGCCTCGCAGACACGTGGAGGAAGCAGCCGTTTTGCTCATGCGCCCTCTGCTCTCGCGTTCCCATGCTGAGGTGAGAACTCCTAGGGGTCTCAGAACCTTGTCACACCGACCGGCGGAGCCCTCCGAACATCTGCAGGTTGGTGCAGAGGCGCTGGTGCCTGGCGGGGTAGCCAGCTCGTGGGGTCGCGCGCCCGCGGTGGCGGGGTGGGCTCGCGGAGGTCCGTGCTGCCGGGCCGGCCCTCTCCCAGTCTAGAGGCTCCGGCTGCTGCAGCCGAGCTTCATGCTTGTCGTTCCCCTGGCAGGCGAAATCCCCTCTGGGAATGCGCTTGTGTCCCTTTCCTGGTTCCCTAACAGATCGGGGGACCCAAGCAGAGGTGTGGCGTTGTTTGCCTTTCGTCATCCATGGCTTCCCTTCTCTGCGAGATCGCCTCACGACCTGAGCAGAGTCCTAGTGACTCTGGTTTCAGGGGAAGAGCCATCTTTAGCTCACGACCTCGGGTATATAAAGTAGATGTACAAATCAGTTACTGACAATATATCGTAAAGAAGTCTATTTATTTGGTGTAATTTTTACCATTTATTAAAGATAAAAACGAATTTGCACTCTGAGATAGATGTGCCTGTTTATTTGTTCATAAAGACAAGTCTTGGCTGAGTATTTGATACTGCAGGACATAAAGCATATAAACTTTTTTTCAGAGCTTGAGCTTATCTATCGTTTCATTTTATAATAGCGCTGAGATGACATTTTGCCTAAATACGTAGTATAGGCAGAACTATGATTGGGGGCAGTTGGGAAAGCCTATCCGCATCTCAAACCAAAATTGATGATTAAAAAAAAAAAAAAGACTTAAATAAGCAACTCAAACATCAGTTTTTGAAATCACACATTGCAACCCAAAGATTTACTAATTGGGTACATGCTGAGAATGAGTTTAGGAAAAATTTAAGCCTGTTTTTATATCATTGCTTTTTAAGAGCATAAACCTGTACATCCGGTAGAAACACTGGATTCCTAACTTGCTTGGAATCGTGGCTGAGATGTTTCAAGCAGTGTTTGTTGGTGTTGCATGGTGTGGAAGCATGGGCTGTCAGCACAGAAGTGTGTGCTGAACTGAAGCTGCCATGTCATGGTACGAGACAGTTGAACACAGTCAGAGACACCTTGGATTCATTACACATTTGATTTTGAATTATTATTGCTAGGTTTTTCATCACCCCATATTCAGCTACATGACACCATATGGGGTTGTAACGCATGGTTGATGAAGCTCTGAGGCTAAGTACAGTTTTCCCACCGGGAGCTGGACTCTGGGTAGATTATGCTATGCGGAAGGAACAGTGCCAGCCTACATGTTTCTGACATGTATAGTCATTCTTCATTTGTATGTGCAAGTGAGTATCCAGTACTTTTGTTTTGAGCCCCGACTTTGTAGTCTGTTAAGTCCTATGTGACAGTGAAAATGTCAGATCTGTGACCTTCTATAAGTATAAGAAAATCTTGTTTATTCCCGTCATTTTGTTCTGCATTAGACTGGACTCCACTGCCTCTTTGGTTTCATTCTCTTCAACCCATCTTCCAGTCCTCCCAAGTTCTGATTCCCACGTTCACACTGCAGATTCCCGAAAAAAGTTACAGCTTGAAATTTCCTTACTGGCTTTTCTTGGGATGGTGCACTCTTTCCCCATGTAATATGTTTTATATGTGTTCTCAGTCTCCAGGTGTTTTGAGGTTTAGGAATAGTGAATGGAGCTAGCAAGCCTGGATTGAATCTCAGAATGTTCATCAGCTTGGAAAATTATGTCACTAGTGGCTTGGTTAATTTCTCTTTGAGGCACAAGAATGACACAGTTCTCTTTGCTGTTGTCTCCGTGAAGCTGGTGTGTAGGTAGAAGTAACTTCCAGTATTAAAGGATTGAAATTCATGGTTGGTAACTGCGATTCAGAGTCTTTCTACCTCCCAGTAGGAAACCTCCCAGTAGGACATCTTTTAGTTTTCTCTACATCAGAAGAATTAATGGCTGTTTCATGGGGTTCCAAGGTCTGTCTCTGGCTTTAGGGAATATGTCAGGGCCTATGTTGCCCCTTTTGTCGATGTGTATATCCACTAGGTTCAAATTTCACACATGCATACTGTTTTACTAAAATAACCTTTCAGGTCTTTATGTTACATAGTGTGGCATATAGTTAAAAGTTGAATCTCTGCTCAGTTATGTTATGAATTTTATTTTGAAAAAGAAAACAAGTGTTTCAGATTGATTCAGTGAAGAAAGAAGGGTATTGAGGTCGGGATTTGGGAACTCCTAAGTAAGTCCATCGGGATCAGTTGTGTTGTCGTTCTTTTTGTGTTTCACTTGAAGTCAGAGTCATTATCTGTTGCTTCATCAGTCAAGTGTTGCTCCATGAAGTCAAAATCATTATCTGTAGTCTAAATGAAAATATCAGTAATTTATCTTCAGTTTGGAAACACATATTTTGATTATAATTTATTCTGTTATCTCTTATTTCATCTAAGAACTAAGATAATATGTTATAAGTAATTTGATTTTAGTGATTTTAATCTCTCCTCACTTTATGCATTGTTACATTTGTATGTAGTCTAATTATTTGGCAAGGCAAAATATGCCAGCTGGGACAGTTCTATGAAGAAGCTTCTTTTCATTTGTTTTTTGAGACAAAAGATTATGTGAAGCCCAGGTTGGCCTGGCACTTGCTTTGTAGCTCAGGTTGGCTTGACCTGGAAGATTTCCTTCAGCCCAGCCTCTACCTCCATTCCTGAGTATAAGCATGCAGCAGTACTGAAAGGGTTAGACTAACTTTGTAACCTGTATGTCTTCTAAAGCCTATAGTTTTGAGTTTTAGGTTCAGGTTAAGCTAAAGCCTCTTAGTACCTTTCCAGAGAATGGAGAAATGTGACCCTATCTGTGAGGACAGATATATATATATAAAAAGGCAAGCAAGCAATGACCTTCACTCAGCAAAAAGAATGACCAGACCCTTGTCTTAAAGATAGTGTTTCTTAGCAACGAACCTAGATGGCCTCAATCCTTCTGAGTAGCTCCTGACCTCCAGCCAAAGGATGAGCTAATCACACCCACCTTCAATTGCAGCTGCATCCACACTTGGCAGGACTGGCCAAGCTTGAGCACCTAAGACTAACCAATTATCTTACTTTATAGCTTCCTCATCCAATCCTAAATTGCCAAGACTGCAACTTCAAATCTCCCGCAATTTTTCTTTTAAAAACCTAAAGGCCTTTGTCTTCGGGTGCCACTCTTTGCTGACCGGCAGGGGTGACCCCATTGCGCAGTGGTTAATAAACCTCTTGCTTTTGCAACGAGTCTTGGTCTGGGGGAGTTTCTGAGAAGGGCACGATCTTAAACTCCTGAGCTGTGAGACCCCAGGTCTTACAGTACCACACTTTGCTAAGAAATGTGTTTTTTTCTGTTGAGATGAGCTTTGGGTATAGGTACCATTCATGTCTTCACTGAAAATTTCTTTTTTGGAGTCTTTGCCATATATATTTTGGTATCATCAAACTTTGAGTTATTTAAGTATTAAATGTATTACTTTTTACCTTTATTATTTATTAGTGTTGGGTGTTAGGGCATGCCATAGTGGGCATGTAGTTGTCAGAGGACTTTTCCCCTTGCACTGTGTAGGTCTCAGGGAATGAATTCAGGCTGTCAGGTATGGTGGCAACATGCCTTTATCTGCTGAGTCATACTGCTGGCCCATTTCAAAATTAAATTCTTTTGTTGATGTGTTTTGAGATGGGATCTCTTGGAGCCCAGGCTGGGCTCATATTGTGTAGCTAAGGGTGACCTTGAACTCTTGAGCCTCCTGCCTCCACCTCCCAAATGCTGATGTGAGCAACCATACCTGGTAATTCATTATTTTTGAAGTAAGAGTTTTCTCTTCCTCTATTAAGTGTATTGCTTTCTTTCCAGAAATGTCTAATGCAAAAGAAAGAAAACATGCTAAGAAAATGCGAAACCAGCCCAGTAATGTGACTTTGTCTTCTGGCTTTGTGACTGAGAGAGGTGGAAAGCACCATTGTGGAGGGGGGAAGCCTTCCCAGTCTCAGAAACAAGGTAACACACACACTGTTCTTTCCACTTCATTCTGACTAGTTGCTTTTGCCAGTTTTGTTTGCTGACCATCATCTCAAAAGAGAGATATAGGAAACTCTTTATCAAAGTTTGTCCTTGCAGACTTACCTTCCTGTTAAAGTGCACTTATAACTCCACTTTAACATTTATGGAGCTGTGCCAGTCATCCTTGGGCATGGAGAAAGCAGGAGAAACTTTAGTTTCTCCCAGTGTCAGTTGCCAGCTGGTCTCTTCAGCTGTTGCCAGGGGGTGCAGACTGTAGAAGGACACAGTGGTGCAAGGAGCTCCAGCTCTGCCTGGGGTTTGAATCTCAGCCACAGGCTCACCCCACACCAGTCGTTTAACACTTTTAAAACCATTCTTTCTTTTGCAAAGTAATGGAAATAGAATCCACAAGTATGAGTTATTTCTAGACTTTAAAATCACAGGCTGCTAAGATGCTCAGTGGATGAGGTCCCCGCTGGGAGGTGGGAGATGCTCAGGCCACCCAAGCCTGACCACCTGAGTTCCATTCCCTAAACCCACCGAAGAAGGAGAGAACTGACTTCTGAGAGTTGTCCTCTGACCTTCGCTTGTGTGCCAGGGCACATGTGTGAGTCTGTGTGATAATGATACATAACATTACAATCTGTGTAAGAGTGAACTCTCTCTTCCATTCATTTCATTGTGTGTGTGTGTGTGTGTGTGTGTGTGTGTGTGTGTGTGTGTGTGT